CCCTTTTTAAATCCCATTTGTATATATTGCTTTTAGATCATAATGGAAACGTCTTTTGAAAAGATGATTAGTGTGTTTGAATGTTCATTAATTTTAATTTTGCGGAATATTCATTTATTTATTATTCAACAGAATTAAATAAATAAAAGGAAATTAATAAGATCTTTTCCCCGTTTAGGTTTAAGAATTCCTATAGTCGGCCCCATGCAATTTTCCAGCCAGCTTCAAATCGGCATGAGGACGAGTTTAATGTGTACAGTCATTGATGGAGACTCTCCTTTCGAGTTTATTTGGTTTAAAGATGGTCGACAGCTCAATCCGAAAGATACGATTAAAATTGAAAAAATAAATGACTTTACATCTATTTTTACCATAACCAAGCTTGAAGTCGGAAATATTGGAAATTACACGTGCCGCGCCTCAAACGCTGCGGGATACGATGAAAAATACGATATATTAAACATGAAAGGTACGCTTTAAAAATATTTAACGTTTTTGCTGTAAAAAAAATTTTATTAAAAAAAATTTTATTGTAAAAATTTTTATTGTAAACATTTCATTGTAAAATTTTTTATTGTAAACATTTTTGTTGCTTTTATAAATTTTTAAAAAAAGTTTGCCATATATGGTATATCGTAATTTTTTTTGCAAAAATTTTATTAATATTTTTTTTACTGTTAATGAAATTGCGCATTTTTGTGAATAATTTGATAAATCAAGTATACCTTTCGTATTGTTATTTCCAAATGTGTTTTTACAAGCTTCTACTGAAGATTAACTTCTCAATACAGTAAAAATATTTTCTCTCCAGGTAGTAATTTATATTTAAAATTTTCTGTAATATTCAAGAAAATTGATATCACTGGGGAAAATTTTTTGTTGTTACATTTATTAATATAGAACCTGATTCTAGGTTCAAATATGAAATTATTTTTGTTTTGATATTTTCAAAATAATATTTTTTTTCTTTGTCTGAATGTACAACATATAAAGAGCGTATATATTTATATACGTACATGTACAGCCTGCTCATTTGAAAATAACACTAAAAAAACAATGAGATCTTAACATATCGCATCATAAGCTGACATGTATCATCGCCTTCTTCCTGCCATTCCCTACATAGCAGAGAAGTGAAGGGAGACTCAGTGTTCACTTAAGGAAATTTAAAAAATTTCTGGTTTGGAAAAATTGCTAAATTGTATAAAATCTGTAATTTGTAGGCAGAAGCCGATTTACAGATTTGAAATCGGCAGCTCGGAAATATTTAAGAGCTCCTGCAGCAGATAAAAAAAATTCTTCCTCAAATCATATTATTTATCTTTTATTTGACACACTTTTTTTTTTTCAAATTATCGTTGCATCATGACAGGTATTCCCAATTCATTTTTATAATTTTGTGATTCATATTATATCTGCTGCGCATTATTCATCTATGTTGCTATACTCATAATATGATCCGAATATTATGAGTAGCTTTATATCGAATTATTTTCATTCAGTAATAAAATTATTTTTCGCATTAATAATTTAAAAGTTATACTTATTCGCTTGTTTGAAAACTGACAAATTTATGTACTTTTTTAGAGCTCTCAATATTCAAATCAAATGAGAAGTAGCAAGTAAAAATAAATGCATGGAATTACCTTTTATTTAAATAACTACCCTTTAATTAGTTTCTTGTTGATTTTGAACTTACTAAAATAAATCTATCTTTTAAATAAGGAAGTAAGTTCTATTTCACTATTAGGAGAACTTAAAAAATGAAAATAAATCATCTGGTAATATAAAATACTGCCTTATACTAAGCATTTTTTTTAAAAAATAAAATAACTTTATTAATTAGAGCTTTGAATCTTAGAATTTGCAAAAACAAACTCGATGTTTGATTTTTTAAAGCTGTTTTAATGCTTTTATTTGCAGTTTCGATCACTGTGTGGCGCTACAATACTATTCGCAAGTTCGTTTGCTCGTATGTACAAATAAAAAGCGTTTCATTGTGGTAGTATTAATGCACGCGCCATTACTTCGGTGTGGTAGAGACAATTTATATTTATCATTGTACTTAGTTAGCTATTGTAAATTTTCAATATACTTACACTCATATGATCTTCATAAAAACTTGTCAGCAGTATAAAGAAAACTAGAGCCTTAAGTTGAAATAAAGAGCTTGCCTAAATGGAAATAATCCTTGTTCTCATCCTTGCAAACTGTTTTCACCCCATATTCGGTAAGTTATAATTATCTTTTCTGATTTGTTTTTCCTTCTTAATTATTTGAAAAAGATTTATCTGTCAATTCTGAACAATGTGTGAAAAGATTTGATTGTCTTATTGGATAGTTGTGCTACTTACACACATAAGATAAGCTTAGATTAGGGAATAATTGGTAATTTTTACCAAGATAAAATACAAATACGGTGCAAGACTTACTATGTATTCTATTGACTTTTCACACCAATCAAAACACAAATGATAGTTTTGTAATATAATTAATGTCGTGTATCTTAATTTTAAAATCGATGAATAATAGCTTTTGTTACATTGCATATATGATACATTGCATTGTAAAGTATGCACTGTAATGTAAGCAATGTAACGTGCTTTTTATTTTCCACTTGCAATCTACAATTTTTTTTTTCATTACTGTTAGAAAAGAAAGAAAAAAATAACTTTTCTAAGTATGAAGTCGAGAGATGCATAAATTGTATAAGAAATTCATAAAGTTAACATGCTCAACAACCCAAGTAAATTTAAAACTTCAGAATTAGAAAGACAATAATGTAGCTCGTCTTTAATTTTAATTACTTCATTGCTCTTTCTCTTCTCTATTGCAAATTAATCAGCCTATTAGATTAATAGTAAATGTTTTCTTTTATTATATAATATTAATTATAATTATTTTTATTGCGGTTTTGTTTATTCTAAAATTTCGATAGATTTTCTGTACATATACATATTTTCAATTCAATAAAAATAATCAATGGATTCATTATTTTCTTTTAAAACAGGTCAAAACAGGTCATTTTAGTCAAAATTTTCCCTTTCAAAATCCGTTTGGATTTAATGCTTATAGATCATAATGGAAATTTCTTTTTCCTCTTTTTTCTTTCTTTTTTATTGCTCAGAAAATAAAGTAAAGATGATTCCTGTGTTTGGGTGTTCATTTATTTCAGTTTATTGTAATTTTGCTATCTATATTTATTTATTATACAACAAAATTAAAAAAAATGAATGAAAATTAATAAAATAATTTCCCTATATAGGTTTAAGAATTCCTATAGTCGACCCGATGCAATTTTCCAGTCAGCTTCAAATCGGCATGAGGACGAGTTTAATGTGTACAGTCATTGATGGAGACTCTCCTTTTGAGTTTCTTTGGTTTAAAGATGGTCGACAGCTGAATCCGAAGGATTCGATTAAAATTGAAAAAATACATGACTTTACATCCATTCTTACCATAACCATGCTTGATGTTGAAAGCATTGGAAATTACACGTGTCGGGCATCAAACGCTGCTGGTTATGACGAGAAATACGATATATTAAATATGAAAGGTACGCTTTAAAATATTTAAAAAAATTTATTGTAAAAAGTTGTGTTGCTTTCTTAAATTTTTGTTGCTTTCATAAATCTTTTTAAAGAAATTTTGCAAAATAAGATTTTTTTCCTTTGTTTATGAAATTGCACATTTGTTGTAAAATGTTTAATAATTTTATAAATCTAGTATACTTTTCGTATTGTTATTTCTAAATCTCTTTTTTGAAGCTTCTACTTAAGATTTACTTCTCGATACAGTAATATCTCTCGATATTCTCTCTTCTCGATATTCTCTCTACATGTAGTAACTTACATTTAAAATCTTTTGTAACATTCAAGAATATTGATAACTATGGGGAAATTTTTTTGTTGTAGCATTTTTACTAGCGCTTGATCTAGAACCTGATTTAGGGTTCAAATATGAAATTAATTTTATCTGGAAGGCTACAGATGTTTTTTTTAAATGATATTTTTAAATTAGTTTATATTTTTGACAGAATGTAAAAGTTTATCAAGAGCGTATAGATTTATAAATGTACATATACAAGTGCCCTCTCTTTTTTAAAATAACACTTAAAACAAAAAATATGCGTGTCACCTGATATCGCATTTTGAACTGAGATGTATCATCACCTTCTGCCTACCATGCCCTACAAAGCTGAGAAGTGGAGGAACACTTAGTATTCCCTTTAGTGAATTTAGAAATATCATACTTAGGAATGCATTGTTAAATTGCAGAAAAACTGTGATTTTTTAGGCAGAAAGCAACTGCAGATTTGAAATCGGAGACGCAAAAAGATATATAAAACTTCATGCAATAGATAAAAAGAATTGTTCTTCAATGTCTTCTATTTATCTTTTTTTCGCTGCAAATTTTTTTCTAAAAATCTATTGTTTGCATCATTACAGGTATTCCCAATTCATTCTTTTAAGATGTTAAGATTCATATTTTCTCTGTTGCATATTATTTTTCCATGCATGTTGTTGCATTCACGATAACATCATAATTATTATGAATAACTTTACATCTGATTACTTACCATCTACAATAGAATGACTCGCATCAATTAAGTAAAAGTTACATTTATTTGCTTGTTTTAATAAACTGACAAATTTATCTACTTTATTTTAGAGTCCACAGGATTCAAATCAAATGCGATGCAGCATCAGAAAAAGTAAAAATAAATATATGGAATTACCTTATATTCAAATCAATGCCCTTTAATTAGTTTTTTGTATACTTACTAAAATAAATTTGTCTTTTAAATACGGAATTAAATTATATTTCCCGATTAAGAGTACTTAAAAAATGAACGAAGATCATCTGGTAATATTAAATATTGCCTTATGCTAGAAAAAAAATTTTCGAATAATAAAATATCTTTAGATATTAAAACTTTGAATCTTAGAATTTGCGAAAACAAACTCGATATTTGATTTTCTAAAACTGTTTTGATACTTTTATTTGCATTTTTGGTCACTGTGTGGCGCTACAATACTATTCGCAAGTTAGTTTGCCTTTATGTACAAATAAAAGGCATTTCATTGTGGTAGTACTAATGCACGCGCCATTACTTCGGTGTGGAAGATACAAATTATATTTGTCACTGCACTTAGCTATTGTAGATTTTCAATATACTTACACTCATATGATCTTTACAAAAACTTGTCAGCAGTATAAAGAAAACTAGAACCGGAAGTTAAACTCAAGGGCTTGCCTAAATGGAAATGATCCTTGTTCTCATCCTTGCAAGTTGTTTTCTCCCCATATTCGGTAAGTTACAATTATCTTTTCTGAGTTTTTTTCTATCTTAATTAGTCGAAAAAGATTTATATTTCCACTCTGAACAATATTTGAAAGAATTTGACTTTCTTGTTAGATAACTGTATTACTTACTCACGTAAAATAAGCTTAGATTAGGGAATAATTTGTAATTTTTACCTAGATAAATATGAAATACGATGCAAGTTAAAGATTCAAAGTGAACACTAATGACTTTACAAATCAATCAAAACACAAGTGATAGTTTTTTAATGTAATTAATGTAGGTGTATCTTAATTACTTTTAAAATCGATCAAAAATAGCTTTTGTACATTGCGTAATGATGAATGCTTTGTAATAGTAATAGTATTGCACAGTAACTTGCTTCACTTTTTATGTTCCTAATGCAAATTGTTTCCTTCATCGCTGTCAGAAAAGAAAGAAATTTAGAACTTTTCTAATTATGAATTCGATAGGGATTTCGTTAAAATTCGTTAAATTAACATGTTTTGACTGCCCAAGTTAATTTAAAACATCAAAGTTAAAGAGACATTAATTTTGCTGATCTTTAACTTCAAGTTATTCGTTACTTTTTCCCTTCACATCTGCAAATTAATCAGCCTATAAGATTAATTATAAAGGGTTTTTGTAATTACTTGATATTAATTATAATTATTTTGACTGCAATTTATTTATTCTAGCATGTAGATAAATTTTCGATACATATTTTAAAATAATCAATAAATTCATTATTTTCTTTTAAAACATGCTTATTAGTAAAATGAGGCAAAATTGTCCTTTTGAAAATCCTATTTGGATTTAGTGCTTGGTCATAGTGGAAATTTCTTTCTTTTTATTTTTTATTGCTTAGAAAATAAAGTAAAGATGATTCGTATGCTTGGGTGTTCATTTATTTCAGTTTATTGTAATTTTGCGGAATATTTATTTATTTATTGTTCAACAAAATTAAATAAAAGAAAGGAAATTAATAAGATCTCTTCCCCATTTAGGTTTACGAATTCCTATAGTCGGCCCCATGCATTTTTCCAGCCAGCTTCAAATTGGCATGAGGACTAATTTAATGTGTACAGTTATTGATGGAGACTCTCCTTTCGAGTTTCTTTGGCTTAAAGATGGTCGACAACTCAATCCGAAGGATTCGATTAAAATTGAAAAATTAAACGACTTTACATCCATTTTGACCATAACCACACTTGATGTAGGCAGCGTTGGTAATTACACATGTCGGGCATCAAATACTGCGGGCTATGATGAAAAGTACGAGATATTAAATATGAAAGGTAAGTTTTAAATGTTATATTGCTATTTTTCACTGCATTTTATATTTTGAGTTTCAAACATTTTTTTCCCTATTTTCTACCATTAAGTTACTCTTTTTCTATTCTTATAATCATTTCAATTATAGTTTAGTATTTTGAGTTATTGTAAATATTTGTAATAAATGGGTATTATTTCTTGTTTACTGTATTAATGTGTGAGCTATAGTCTGTGCTTATAAAAAAAGTAATTTCTTTTCTTTTTCTTATTAATCTGGCATCGTTTCTACTTCAAAAATGGCTACTACTTATGTAAAATCTTAAAATCTAAGAACTTAAACCTTTTAAGCATTTTGCATATGCAACAGCATGTTCATCGCATATGCAAGATCAGATCATAAATAACATAAATTTGTAGAAAATTCATTTACTTTGCTTCAAATAGTAATATATTTGAAAATTAGTAGTTTTGTGTAATAGCTTATTAAAACATTCTTTTAGTATTGTGGTGAGTATTTTTGTTCATACACTCAATAATAAATCAACTAAGCAATTATAAAAACAAATTTAAAAACTATGTTGTTTCATATTATTTTAAGTAATTAAAAAAAGAAACTTCCTGGATAAAAAAAAATAGAATTTATTATGTACATAAAAACAGAAAAATTCCTAGTCGTTTTTTTAAATATCATGCCATTTTAAATAATACTTTTTAATGCGATATTCGTCACTGTGTGGCGCTGTTATACCGTTAGCATACCTTCCAGCACAGGCTTCATAAAACGAGAATGATTCACTTGGTTGAAAAATACTAATATGGCTTGCTTCAAAATGTGCATCTGAAATTTTGCTATTTCGTTGCTAATAAGCTATATTATATTTTAAGATAGTTCATAATTTTCACGCGAATTAGGGATTCATCCAGGATGAGGACGCTATTTATTCTAATCATTGCTAACAGTTTTATCCTCTGTCACAGTAAGTACTCTCTTTCTCTTATTTATATTTCACGCACAATTATTATCTTATAAAAAAGTTTAACCCCTCCGTGAATCTTTTCATAAATATTTGACAGGCATGATTATGCATAAGACAAACATGTTTGTGAAAATAGGTAAATATTGATAGAGACGTAATTTAAATTTGAATAATCATGAAATTAGTTTGAAACGTCTTTTAAAGGCAAAAAATGATTTTAAGTTGAAATGATTATTAAAAATAAATTTTTATTCATTAAAATCTCTAGAAATAAGCATTTTTTTCTGTATCACTGTCGTTTGTAAGAGATTTTCATACCTTCCTAGGATTTCAGAGACCCTTTTTCCCAGATATAACGAAGGTATATAATTAATATTCTAATAAAGTAGAATTAAAATAGTTTAGTTCATCACTACTAATAGATAAAATATATAAAAGATATTAATATATAAAATTAATATATAAGAGATCAGATATACAAATTTTCATGTTCCAAATTTCTGAGGAAAGTTTTAAAAAATTATGTTTGACATAATGTCTGATATATATCACTACTACTGAAAAAATGATTTCGCATAATTTTCAAGTGATGAAGAGTATAGAGAATAAATATGTTTTGAAATTTTTTTTAGGTTTTCAACACTTTCTATTAACCTTAAAACATATGAATGCAAATCAGTGCCTTCAATTTCTTTTTAGTGTGTAAACGTGTGCATAGTTTTAGTGAGAATCAGATTTAATGCTTTTGATGTGAGCTTTAACTTTCTCTCTTACCAAGTCCTACTCTGTTTATAAAAATCTGTTTCACTTCCAAATAAATTAGTTTTCATCGTAATATTTAAAAGAATAATAACAATTAATTTCGGATAAGGAATGCTTTTATCTTGAAATAAGTAACAGTTATTTTTTCCGTGCTCCGTGCTTCTGTTTGATAATGATGTTGTTTTAATTGTATGTATCTATTGTAAATTATTTAATTTTTTTACACAAGTATTTTAGTACAAAATTCGTCACTAGAAAAGTAACTATTTTTTCCTTCTAAATTTTCAGTATCAGGTTCGAATCCCCCGGTCATTAAACCATTTCAGTTTTCTGGGGATCTTCAACAAGGCGTAAGAATAGCCATCGCTTGCACACTCATTAAGGGGGATCCACCCTTCCGATTCGAATGGTATAAAGACCTTCACCTTCTCCAAAACAATGAGAAGATTTCGGTTAAAAATTTCGATGAATTCACATCGATTCTAACACTCAAATATCTAGATTCTGAAAGCAGCGGAAATTATACATGCCGTGCGATTAGCAACGCTGGATCTGATCAAAAATCTGACTCGCTCAGAATAAATGGTAAGCATTTTACTCATTCCACTTTCAGTCATTAAGAATAAAAATGAAGACATTTATTTTGCCATTTTATTTTCAAAAGAAACCAATTAAAACTGCAAAATATGTTTTTGTGTGACGTGATTCATTCCAAAATTGTTCTATGCTGATCATTGTGATTACATTTGAAGTGAAATAATTTGTAAACTGTATATTAAAATTTGTTTTTGCATTTTTTTTTTCCATTTTTGAATTGACTCTTACATTTACTTCTGCTTCCGTTGGAATTCATTCTTACCACTTCAGCTAAATTGATTATTAAAATTCGAAACAGAATTTTTTAAACTGAATTTCCTTTTTCAAAAGAAAGAGATTATTTTGGGTAACGTAATTTTAAAAATTTTCCATATTTTTTGTCGATAGGTTACATTGTTTTACGATCATTGGTGCAAATTTGTTCTCTAAGGAACACATCTTCACAGTAAACAGTCATAAAATGAGGGAAATTAAAAGATTCTTTAATATGTGCATTAAAAAAACATTCTTTTGATATTTAAGAAGGTTATTTTGCATTTTGAGTTACAAATGATGATGAATGCGACAGTCATATTTTTCGTCTTCAAATGTGTAGCTTAAATTGTGTATTTTTTATACTTATAGATCCAAAACCTTAATATTTTAAGGTATAATAGAATGTCGAGTTTTGATATTATTTTAATGTCTTACATACAAAAATATTTTTGTTTATTAATTTTAGTTTGATGTGTATTGTTATATTAGAATATTCCATAATTATTCATAACTATAAGGTATTCTCTTAGAATGCCTATTTGTGAACTATATTTTCTGCACCTTCGATTTCCTTTCGTTGTATTACTGTAGAATGGGTTGTATTCGACTTGCAAAATTTAATTTATTTGTTTCACTTAATTTCTGCATTATGTAAAACAAGATGTTTCAAATTATAGAATAAACTGCGATTCGGTGCAACTTTTGTCACTGTGTGGCGCTAGTATACTGTAATTCACTCGCAGCGTTTGTGTCAGATTAGTATCAAATGTTTTGTCCGGTTACAGCTCTCCATTTGAAAACAATTCTTTATCATTGAAAAAGTAAAAAGTGTAAGATTTAGTTTTAGTTATTTATCTAAACTATAACGAAATTATTAGTTAATCGAGCGATTAATCACTACGAAACCCTAGTTTTAAGAACTTGATGTATTTAATCGATGTGTAACTAGCATATCTGCTATTTCCATCTTTCCTTCATTGTGCATTCTATTGTTGCCTGATGGTATACATTTTTCAGCAATTGTAGTAAGTGAATGTGCTCATGATGCATAGATTTCCTATAGAGCAGCTCAAAAGTAGTTTTTTTCTTATCTTCCTCTCAAGCTTCTTACTTTTCACAGAAGGTAAGTTCTTCATTAAAACTCCTGTGTTTTGAATGTATTTCATTTTCAAACGTAGTTTAGAATAGTAGTTTAAGAATTTTAAATGCAATATCTACTTATTTATCTCTAGTTATATTTAGTAAACACTTTTAAACTTAAATTGCGTATTTATTCTTAAACTGAATGGATGAACTATTTTGGCGGCACTTAATGTGCCATTGTCCATTTCTTTTTTACTATTTGTTTTCTATAAATCATAGATCATGTACAATAGTATTACATTCTTTCTTTAAAATAAACGTTTTGTTTTTAAAGTAGTTCTTTGATATATATTATGAATGTGACAGGCGGTATAGTTTTGACTTGTTAATTTTATAATTTAAATATTATTGATTGTACTAACCTTAAACCATTTGTTTATTTCTCTTTGTTACTGGATTCGATAATGCTTGCTTCTATATATACATTGCTATCTATATTTTTTTTAAATTTAGTGTTGGTATCTTCCATTGGGAAAGAAAAACATTTAAAAAAAAATTTTAGTATTTTTTATTAAATTGAGAACTTCTCTTTTCTACCCTTTGACACCCTTAGACCTAATAAAGGGTGTACACATTTATCATAAGTTTTTCTGTCAATTAATAAACGATTCGTTTATTTTGTGTTACATATTCAATTTTCTTTGAATGACGTAGCAAGTTAGTAAGATATTTATTTATTTATTTTGCGTGTATAGGTGGAAGAGCTCCAGTGATCAAAGGATTTCACTTCACCGGCGATGTAAGGGAAGGATTGAGGATTGCGGTCATGTGCACCGTCATCGATGGAGATCCTCCTTTTCAATTTGAGTGGTACAAAGATGACCACCCACTCCAAAACAATGAGAAGATTCTAATTAAATCTATCGACGAGTTCACTTCTTTTCTCAATCTCAAACATTTAGATTCTGAAAGCAACGGCAATTACACGTGTCGCGCGATCAATAGCGCCGGATCAGATCAAAAATCCGATTCACTTAAAATGAATGGTGAGTAATACATTCAGGTGTAAAAAAATATTCTCGTATAGTGTGATAATATATATCGTATAGTGTGGTAATATATCTCGTATAGTGTAAGAATATATCTCGTCTAAAAATATATCGTGTATTCTTCATTCATAATTGTTTAGTTTGGTTTTTTTTAAATTAATGAGAAAATATTATTCTTCAGCTGCTATCTCTGAAGTTTTCGATTAACTGTTATGCTGAAATACCCAATTTATGCATTTATTTTCACAAGATATATATATATATATATATATACACTCATAATTTTTTTTTGCTAATGAA